CCCCCCCCTCCCTCCCAAAAAAATAGAGTTATTTGATAATTTTAATTTATAATTAAAACATTTGGGAGCAGGTCTTTTAATTAGAGCACCTCAATTACTAAGCCTTTAAGTGTGGAGTGAACGTGTATAATTCATCACCTTATGAAAAAAACTTTGAGGGCTATTTAACTTAAAAAGGACCGAGAATAGGTCTTCTAATTAAAGCACCCCAATTACCAAGACCTTAAAGTGGAGTAAATATTTATAATTCATTTCTATTATCAAGTGAAGATTTCATTTTTGTAATCATGGTATTTCTGCACTCCATGTTAGCAACATTTTGAGTACACGTATTGTGAGCACGTAATTTTTGCCCTTCGAAAATACTCCTACAAAATTCGCAAAAATAAATTTTTTCTAATTTTTTTTGATTTTATAAAATTTTAGGAATTCCTTTTTAATTGTTTGTTTGCATTTAATTGTATTTTTGTGCATATTTAATATCTTAAAATCATAAGAAAATACCATAAAAATGTTCAATTCTTCATAGCATTTTAGATCCTAATTGTATTTAGGATTTAATTACATTAATTAAATGCATTATCAATAAAAATCACAAAAATACAATGGTCATTTTTACATTTTTAGCTTTTAGTTTTAATTTAAAAAAATTATTAGTGTTAAGTTAATTAATTAGTTAATTGTTAGAAAATATGTAAGTAACATTGCTTTTGCAAATTAGAGTTAAGTTAGGATTTAATTTAGGATTTTAATTAATTTATTTAGAATTTAAAATCAAAGAAAAGGAAGAAATAAAGAAAGGTTTTGTTTAGTTTTATTTTGAATTGGGCCAAGCAATTTCAGTTGGCCCAATTGACCATAAAATTCGCCCCAGCATAGACGTTAAAATATCATGGTATAGCCAGTTTTCACACTGGTCAATGAAAAATAGCCAGCATTTATCAAGTCAATGAAAAATAGCCACTATTTTGCTGCAACAGGGACCGGTCCAGTATAATATACGGGAGTTCTGGTGCATTTGTGTACGAACTCCAGCATATTATGCTGGACCGGTATACTTTGCTAACTCCTGTAAAATTTGCGGGAGACTGGAGCACCAGTGCTCCAAACTCCAGTATATTATACTGGACAATTATACTTGCTGAAACTACCCGTAAAATTTGGCGGGAGTTCCAGCATAATTATGGTTGAACTCCCGTAAAATTTGCGGGAGTTCCAACATAGTTATCCTGGAACTCCCGTAAAATTTACGGGAGTTCAAGCATACTTATGCTGGAACTCCCGTAAAATTTGCGGGCGTATTTTTCCGGATTTTGAACAGTGTTTTCGCTCAGATTTAAAGTGGCTAAATTTCGATGACTTTTGAAACTTGGCTATTTTTCAACGACCAGTGGTAAATCTGGCTATTTTTGAATTTCTCCCGTCCTACTCCTCTAATGGTTAAAATATCATGGTATAGCCAGTTTTCACACTGGTCAATGAAAAATAGCCAGCGTTTATCAAGTCAATGAAAAATAGCCACTATTTTGCTGCAACAGGGACCGGTCCAGTATAATATACGGGAGTTCTGGTGCATTTGTGTACGAACTCCAGCATATTATGCTGGACCGGTATACTTTGCTAACTCCTGTAAAATTTGCGGGAGACTGGAGCACCAGTGCTCCAAACTCCAGTATATTATACTGGACAATTATACTTGCTGAAACTCCCGTAAAATTTGCGAGCGTATTTTTCCGGATTTTGAACTGTGTTTTCAAAATTTGCGGGAGTTCCAGCATAGTTATCCTGGAACTCCCGTAAAATTTACGGGAGTTCAAGCATACTTATGCTGAAACTCCCGTAAAATTTGCGAGCGTATTTTTCCGGATTTTGAACTGTGTTTTCGCTCAGATTTAAAGTTGCTAAATTTCGATGACTTTTGAAACTTGGCTATTTTTCAACAACCAGTGGTAAATCTGGCTATTTTTAAATCGGATCCAGCTACCTCTTTAACCAAACGGCGCCGTTTTACCCCCAAATAATCCCATCCGTCTATCTAATCTAATCCGACGGCCACGAACTAATTCCCCAACCCAAATATTTGAGAGACCCCCCAAACCCTAAGCAAGACCCCATTCTCTCATCTTCCTTACCTCTCCCAAATCCCCTCTAAAATCCTAGCCGCCCTAATTTCTCCAAACCCACTGACCGGCAGTCACCACCCCAAACCTCCTCAAATTCACACTCCACAATTCTCACACTCTCCTAATTCCTAAACCCCCATCGATTTCCCCAGAAAACCACCTAAACTTCCCAATTTTTAGATCTAGAAAAAGCTAGAAAACCCTAAGTCTGTCTCTCTCTTAATCTCTGATTCGTTTTGGCTCAAACTCACGTGAATCGATTGTCCTTAACACGAGCAATCGATTCATGTTAGTTTTGGTTCATTCTGAGACTCACCGGACCTTCGTCACAGTCACTGACCGGCCAAGCCTTGTCAAAAACTGCTCTAATTGAACCGTCTTTCTTTTCATAGGTACACCCTCACTCTCTTTTTCATCTTTTCTTCTTGTTGTTTTGTTTGTTGAAAACAGAAGAAAAGTTTAATTGTTTGTGGTGTGTTTGACCTAGTTTAATTGGGTCGGTATGGCTCATAAATTAGTTAATTAACAGTAGAATAACATCTAATTTGGTATAGTTGTGCTGAATATACATATGTTTGGATTTTTAGTTAGTCGCATGTTTAGCAAATTAATTACATTCTGTGTATTTAATTGCACAATTAGATTAGTATTTCAAATACATGCCTTCCATATGAGCGTTTGATTGATTAATTGGTGATTTCTGTTTGAGACTGGTTAATTCAAACATGCTTAGGTTAATAATTAAAATTGTTTTGACATTCTAAGTAATTATTTGTTTTAGTTGAATCTGAAATTATTGGATAATCATTTTGTTGGTTTAAATTGTCCATTTGCCTGATTAGCACGTTAATTAGTTGATAATTCAGGTTTAGTTTGTGTTGTTAGCCTAGTGCTAGTTTAGCTTAGTTAATTATAGTTTAATTCTGATAAGAGAAACTTCTGAAAAGTGGACAGTTGTCCAAACTTGTTAAGAAAAGATGCTAAAAATAGGAAATATCTGAGAATAAGAGGAGCTAACAGATTCCCTCTTAGATTCTCTCATTCCCTATCCTTTTGCACACTCACACTCTATATAAGACTCACTCACACACTCATTTCAGCAGCTTTTGAATCTCTGCATCTTTCTTTCAAAAAACACACATTAATCTCTGCATTTTTAGAGAAACACACTGATTTCTGCATTCTCAGGAACATATCCTTTTCATTTTTCATTCCCTGGGAATTCCAAGCTTAAGTGAGCTCTTGAGTTCTTCATTTTGCTGGTGAACTTGTTGATTGCTGCATAATTGGTTCTGATTTGCTGATTCCAGTCCTTACTCTGTTGTTTCTTCTATCTTTGCCATTGTTTGGTTTATTCAAGTTAGCTTCAATTTAGGTATACATCTATGAACTTGTATACTTTTCTTTGAATCTTAGCATGTTTAAATTCCTCTACACCTCTAAGAAATTCAGATATGGTATTGCTTTTTATGTGATGATTACTTCCTGATAAGGTGTTTTGGTTATAATGGCATGTTTGTATGTAAGCTTAAAGTTGAATCTGCTAGCCATATCTGATTTGTCTAACTTCATGGTTGAGTGATGGTATAAGTTGAATCTTCATACACTATCATAAAAGGGGTTTGAACGTGAAAGGATCAATTTAGTATGATTTCTTTGAATGCCTCTGTTGTAATGATATCTGCTCACTCTTAAATATCATAAGTGTCGAGTATGTATCTTATATTTTAAACAAGTCAGTCATATTCACTTATTGAGATTCCAGGAGTATATTTGACAATGGATTGGCATGTAAAGGAGTTGTACGAGGCACTATTTTGCAGAGCTTGGTCGCATCTCTTGCTCGAAGTAGTTTCACTAATTGTGGTTTATCAACATGTAGGTTTCGAGATGTTAAAGTATGAATTTTAAATTGGGGATAATATTGTATAGTAATTCAATTTGAGTTGGTGTTTAAAATGCCTCAGCCTGTTGTAATTAAGTACGGGCATAGCTAATTTTTCTTTAAAATGCTAGATTAATCACATTTTTTTTGACATAACATGTTTGCTTCCTTGTAATTTGTTATCATGTATGTGTTGGGCCTAGCCACTACACAGGCCCGTAGTTACTGTATTTCATCCAAATTCGAATTCCTGATTTGCTTTAAAACTTACAGTAGCAAATGCTTTCAACTGAGCCGCCCAAGGCCAATTGCGGCAGGCCCATCTTTCCTGAGTTTGGATTATTGAAGGCAGCTGCCTCTTTGTTGGAGTTAAAATAGCACGGGCTAGCCAGTTTTCGGACTGGTCATTTAAAAATAGCCAGTGTTTGCCAAGTCATTGAAAAATAGCCACTATTTTGCTGCAACAGAGACCGATGCAACATAATATATTGGAGTTCAGTGCACCTGTATATGAACTGCCAGCATATTATGCTGGACCGGTATACTTTGCTGGCTCCAGTATAATATACTGGACTTCCAATATACTTTGCTGGAACTCCAGTATAATATACTAGAGTTCCAATATATTATGCTAAAGTATTTTCTGGATTTTGAACAATGTTTTCATTCAGATTTATCTTTACATGAAAAGTGGCAAAATTTCGATATTATACTTTGCTGGTTCCAGTATAATATACTGGAGTTCCAATATACTTTGCTGGAACTCCAGTATAATATATTAGAGTTTCAGCAAAGTATAATATAAATTTTCATTCATATTGGCTAAATTTCGATGACTTTTGAAACTGTGACTATTTTTGAATAACCACTTGTAAATCTGGCTATTTTTGAATTTCTTCCTTTGTTGGACAATGACACAGGCTTGGGCCTGTTTTTCAATTTAATCCTGTTTGAGATATTTTTCTTTCCTATACCATATATGAAACCTTATTATCAAAAATGTGCATAGTTTTTAATTTACCCGTCCTGTCCATATTTTTTCTACAGTTATTATACCAAGCATTAAATACGAATTAACAGTAGCTGAATCTTCCTAATTTGTCGAGCTAAAATTGAGGAATAGAATATTCTAAAAAGATTTAGCGTAAATCAAATCAAATCATATTCTTCCAGATATTCCTATTTAGGCGCGCTACAATTATGGAAGTAAATATTTTTCAAGATATTTTCCACCATTGATAGCCATTAAAAAGCTTGAAAGCTTTGAATTCAAATTTGGGTTTTCAAAGATCATTATTTGTTTGGATTGGGTGTTGTTGAAAATAATCGTAACATGATTTGGAGTTTATATCTCAATTTTGAGGGGTTTGGTGAAGATTAGACTTGGTTTTGACTGAAATTCAGATTGAAACTCGAAGAAGAAGAAGAAGAAGAAGACATATTGCAGTAAATTATTTGTATTCTGATTGTAGATGCTTTATTTTTCTGTTTTCACAAATAAAAAACGGCTAAAACTTCTACAATCTTCTGAAAAAATGTAATTGTCAAAAATCACAATTATGCTACAATTGGATGGGAATTAGGATATAAAAATTCAATGTACCCAATTTGTAGATATTTTGTAGATAAATTGTAGATTATTTATATTCTAATTGTAGGTGCTTTGTTTTCTGTTTTCACAAATCAAAAACGACTAAAACTTCTACAAATCTTTTGCAAAAAATATAATTATGTCGAAAATGCCAATTATGCTATAATTGAAATGGGAATTGGGATATTAAAATTCAATGTATCCAGTTTGTAGACATTTTGTAGATAAATTGTAGATTATTTGTATTCTGATTTATGCATTATTTTCTGTTTTCACAAATCCAAAACGACTAAAACTTCTACAAAATCTTCTGTAAAAAACAGTCTACAATTTTTCTATAATTTATCTATAATTTATCTACAATTTCTGCAATATGTCTTCTTCGTCTTCTTCAAGTTTCAATCTGAATTTCAGTCAAAACCAAGTCTAATCTTCACCAAAACCCCTCAAAATTGAGATATAAACTCCAAAACATATTCCCAATTATTTTCAACACCACCCAATCAAAATAAATAATGATTTTTGAAAACCCAAATTTGAATTCAAAGCTTCAAAGCTTTTTAATGGTTGTCAATGGTGGAATTGCTGCTCTCTTGTCTCTTTGAAGGTTTGTTCTTCTTCATTGAGAAAATTTGAAGCAGAAGGTAAATGTGTGTATGTACTTTGAAGATTTGACTTCAATTTTGATGAACTTTGTTGTTCTTCATTGATGAACTTCAACTGGAGTAAAATGGGGAACCAACTTTGTTGAGGGGTTTCTTCAATTTTTTGTGAATTTAGAGGGAGAATTTGGTTTCAGAAGATGGAAAATGGTAAAAAAAACGTGGGTATGGGTAAAACGTGGGTGGGACTGAGGGGTTAGGAGAGAGAAACGTGCAGATTCCTTTAATTAAGGAGTAAAAAATGTACAATTAATTATACCCTTAATTAATTATGGTATAGAATTGGTAATTTGGTATACTAAGTGTAATTAAGTCGAACCTTAAACATTGAGGGTAATAAGGTTTCCTATGTGGCATAGGAATGTAAAAATCTCATCCTGTTTTCCTAATAAAATCTAGAGAAATTTTCATAAAGCACTATCTTTTAGTAGTAATTAGTCATCTATAGATACCATTTGATATATTACGGATTATGGATACCTTTTTCTGTGGTTATAAGATGTATTTGCTGTATTTAAGCTATTGTATTCATGAATACAGTAGCAAAAATAGGCGTGAATCAGGGAAATCCAGCTAATAAGTTGTTGTATTTAAGTGTATTCGACTGTATTCATGGAGTGAAACATGGGATTACAGCTGGACAGATTATTGTATTCGACTGTATTCACGGCGTGAAACAGGGGAATATACTGTTTCTAAAACGGAAAGTGAATCAATTAACATAATAGACTCCTAATATAACTCAACAAACTCAATTATAACATACAAATTTTGTATTTTCAGTTATAAAAAAGATTCTCAACCGAAAAATACCCCAAAAATATAGCAATCTTCAGAGAAATTATATAATACATCTGAATATATAAAATTATATTAATTAAAAAAAATATATGAATATATTCGTGGTATATAGCGAGACAGTGAATACAACAAAATACATAGAATACAGTGGGATACATTGAAATACAATGAAAAAAGACAGTGAATACAACGAAATACATGGAATACAACGAGATACATTGAATTACAATGAAAAAAAGACAATGAATACAATGAAATACATGAAAATACATTGAAATATGTTAACAGAAAATCAAGTTGCTCAGCCCCAAACTCCGTCGTCTTTGTTCAAGAACAAACCCTAATTTTTGGCGAATCTGCCATTCACCGGAAGCCGGTAGTGAAAACGCGCCGCCTTGGTCCGGTGATGGTGCCGGAGCCGAGGTCACTTCCTGAGCAGAAGCAACCGCCGATTAGACTGCCACAATGGCAAAAAACAACGTCAAAGCCTTCAATGCCCTATCTCAGAAGATGTAGAAATCACAGAAACTTATATCCTTCAATGACGAATTGATTGATAAAGACGAATTAACTTATATCCTTCAATGACGAATTGTGTAGCAATGGCGACAAGTTGCTGTTGTTGGATTCTTTCAAAAGATTTTTGTTCCCGATAGACCTATGCCTTTCTCACAAGTCAAATAAATCTACTACGGTTTATTCTAGCTTTATAAAGAGAGGTCAAAGTCCAAAAAACATTGGCAATTGGTTTGTGAAAAGCAGCAGTAGGGATTTGGTGGAAGAATGGCGGAGTCTAGTTCAAGAGCGTTGGCGCCGGAGAATAGCCCAAAAAATGGGGAAAGATAATGGCATGTATCAAAGTAGAGAGAGAAAGAAAAATAGTGTAACTGAATAGCGTATTTAGTGGCTTAGGGGTAGGAGGTAACCAAAATTAGATATTTTGCTATAAACATTAAAAGATATCTATAGAATATAATTTTTTTTAAATGGTATTTATTTAAAATAAATAAGGTATTAACCTTTGCTATGTGAAGTAAAAATTCCTAAAATCTATTTAATTCATAATCCTTTCCTTATACCTATATTCTGCTCGCCCATGATTAAATAAAGTCTAATGAACATTACAGTCTTTCACATGACTGTGATTATCATGGCCCCCAAAACTTTCCGCCATTAATCCCAAACTTTAGAATTAATCAACCATTGAATATTCGTAGAATATTTTAGGCGTGTTCTTTAATTTATTATCGTGATTATGTACACGTTCGCGTGACATAATTATGATTTTCAAAATAAATCAAGGTACACGTTCGCACGACTTTGTCAAAAAAATCTTAAATTAATAAAGCGTGATTAATCGTGTACACGTACGCGTGACATGATTTTAGTGCCCCAAATAAAAAAGATTTACGCACATGTAAATAAATCCATAAAAGGCCATAATTAAAAGCGGTAAAAAGGTAAAAGTACATAGGTTCTAAAAATGAGTAATTAAACAATTTAATTAGGCCAGGTATGATCAAAGCGACCGTGCTAAAACTACAGAACCCGGAATGCCTTACACCTTTTCCTGAGTTAACAGAGTTTCTTATCGGACTTCTGGTTTTCGTGGACTTTAAAACAGAGTCAAATTTCCTCGATTTGGGATTTAAAATAAACCAGTGACTTGGGACACCATAAAATTATTCCAAGTGGCGACTCTAATTAAATAAATAATTCTATTTCGAATAATGATATTTTAATTGGAAAAACTCTCCATCCTTCGAGAAAAAGGAGGTGTGACACGTATTATACCTACGAACATCTTGTCAGCTAGCAAGCCAACTGATTTTTTTATTAAACATTTCAGTAGTGAGCATAAATTATACTATTGACTTTAATCCCACCCTATTCCATAAAAATTATTTACCATAGAAACTATTTCTTACGAAATAAATAGGATGGTTGGTTGGTGATTGGAAAGGAATTTTGAGTAAAAGAGTGGTAATAATAAGTATTGGATGGAGCAAATAATTAAATTATAGTTTTAGATACCTATAAGTAAATTATTTTAATATATTAAGAAGAAAAGTCAAAATTTCAATTTTCTGATAATCAGACACCAAATATTTGCTTTCGAGGGAAGATACTTTCATATAAAATTACTTACCTGATACCAACTTATCATATATTAAAGGAAAAATACATAAGATGTATCCCGAACTTGTCCTGAAAAATCAGTTTCCAACTCAATTTTTACGGGCGTTTTTTCCCCACCATGTATTTGTCCAGACTGAATCTAATTTCTCCCTACAAATACATAACCAAGCTTGTGGAGGGCTTTGTTCTTCATGCTCCGCCACATGTCAATTTTAATTTATTTTATCTTTTTTCAATTATTTTTTTATTTTAAAATTATTGTCAATCTCACTCCACCCCTGTCTATTTTGAAAAAGATATTGGGTTTCCGTAGAGTTATCACTATTTTCTCTCCTTTAACCATAACCATTTAAGACCACCAAATCAGACCACCATAGCCTAAAGGAAGAAGTTCGGGCAGAACAAAGATGGAGAAGAACAACCCATCGAAGCTCTTTGACTGAATATTGACCGGAAAACTTATCCGGCAAACTCACCGACAGAGAAAATGAAGACGGCTAGAAAAGAAACTCTTCAATGGTGATTTTATTTGGTCTTTTGGGACGAGCTAATGAAAATGAGGTTGGAAAAATATTGGAGGCATGGGTCAGGTGGGAAAGAAACTGATGGGGTGAAGGAGAAGGGGAGATTAGGTGGCCCAGCAATGGTGAGGGTGTAGCAGGGGCTGTGTATTTTGGGTTGGAGAAGAGGAGACAGAATAATGGATTGAGAGAGAAGCAATAAATTAAAAATAAAAAATAAGATAAAGAAAGAGAAAAAGAAATTTGAGACCCCACGATTAATTAAGTTAAGTTAAATATATAATGTCAAATAAAAATATAATATGTGTATGATTTAGTATGTAATTAATATTCTTTTCTTGGTTCTACTCGAATTTGGGAGAGTGAAACCACATTCTCTGATATGTCACAATTTAGGGAGGAACTAAACTCAGTCTGGGCAAGTATAGGATGGAAAAAGAATGCCCATAAAAGTTGAGTTGGAAACTGACTTTTAAGGACAAGTTCGAGGTGCATCTTATGTATTTTTCCTATATTAAATCGATTTCATATATTTTTCTTTCCCTTTTAAGTGTCAGCGTGGAAGACAGAACCAAGTATAGTCATTTAGTGAGTTGACCAATATTGTCCCTTACCTTTGAGGGTAGGTCTATTTTGATCCCTCAAATATAATCCTGAGCGTATTTAGTCCCTTAAGTATGCTAAAATGGAACACCTTTAGCCTCACTAACATGATGCGTTCAAAAACTAACGGTGCTACCCAACTCTGATCCATGAAGCAAATCTTTTGCTCTGAAGCAAAATATTTCCTCTCCTTTTATTGGATAACGCAAATTACCACTTTAATTCCTCATTTTTAGATAATGTCTACTTAAATTTTGACATTGAAAATATCCTCTGTTGTGCCAGTTTTCAATGAGAAAATGATATTGTATAACCACTGTAAAAATAACAGCCAAAAAATAATAAAATTTATATATATATATATATATATATATATATATATATATATATATATTGTATGTTAATATACAAATTTATATACTTTTCAGATGTAAATAGTTTCTAGCGCGGGATAAGAGTGATAATACAACCTGGTTATTCGTTTGCTTCAATAATATGCATAGAAGTTATCCTGGCAGTTCTATTTTTTTTAAATTTTAACTTTTCTTTTTGGAAAAATCAACCGAAATTTTTAAAAGTAAAAGTTTCAACGTTAAATTCTTAAATTTATCAGCTCTGTACTACTAGTGGGTGTTGGTTTATAAAATATTTTCGATAAGTAAAAAAGACGGTGAGTGCTGAAACCAACCCCGAAATGGGAACGACTTTTTTCTTTTACTGTTGATCTTCTTGCAGTGTCACATGAGTAACACGAGATACTGCTGTTAGTTTTTAACACAAATGTCAGTAAGACTAAAGGTGCTCCGCTTTAGCATATTTAAGGGACTAAATATGCTCAGGGTTGTATTTAAGGGAACAAAATAGACATACTCTTAAAGATAATGGACAATATTGGACAAAAACTCGTCATTTAGTTCCTCAAGTGATTCAAGTAGTGGTCATTATATAGCACACCAAAGTAATCCTTTCAAGTCTTCGGTGTCCAAGTTAAATATGCATTAAATAGCCGAGCTTTCGTTGACTTGTCTTTTCACCTGTCACGGTTCCTTGCCACTGGATTTATGATCCAACTAGCTCATCGATTTTATATTTTTTTCTTTCCGTTTGATAATGTTTTGATGGTTTTCAAAAGTCATATTTCTAAGCTGAAATGTGTCAATATATACTCTTTTTCTTTTTCTTTTACTTTCTAAACTTTTGTTTTCACCTTTTGTAATAAGCAAGCTTATAAATTGTTGACCACTTCAATTTTTGACAAATTTGAAAAATAAAGTCAGCGGTTAATGGAATTTGGAAAAATTATAAGATAATACCTACACGATTATGACGCCCTCAGTTTTGACCAATTGGGAAGGGCATTCCTAATGCGTTCGTTGTACAACTAAAGTATGACCACCTTTATTTAGGTGACAGTGATCCAGCTTTGATGTTAGTAAATAAATTGACAAAAAAGTATATTGATCATAACTTAGTTACTCCATCTGTTCCAGTTTATGTAAACCTATTTCCTTTTTGGTCCGTTTAAAAAAGAATGACCCATTTTTAAATTTGAAAACAATTTAGTTTAAACTTACAATTCTACCTTTATGAGAAGCTTTATAACTATTCAAATGCTTTGGGCCCCTTTTTAACTTGTTTAGGATCATAAATTCCAGAAGTCTTAGATAAATTGGAACGGAGGGAGTAATAGATACAACTAAACAAAGTCCAAGAGAACAAAACAGCAAACTTTCGCTCAAGAACCCTTTCCATTATCACAAGGCCTCCCTATATATACCCCAGCCAAAACAATTAGCCTTGTTCAGATAACAGACTTTTGAAATTGGACCAAATCCTTCATTCATTACTTCAATTTTAGTCGTGTTCTTTTTGTACAACTTTATGACAATGGTAGCAGCAGAGAAGCACGTCCATGATCTGCCAGAAGACTGCATTTGTACCATAATATCTCTCACTTCTCCTCCGGACGTACTAAAACTATCGCTCGTTTCATCAACTTTCCGGTCAGCGGCAGAATCGGACTATGTTTGGAATGTTTTCCTGCCTTCTGATTGCCAAGATATTGCAAGAAAATCAGTCACCCTTTTGAAGTATACTACAAAAAAGGAGCTTTTTCTCTGTCTCTGCAACTCCATTCTAATAGACGGTGGCAACAAGGTAAGACTTAAAAGACCCATATACATAGATTGGTTCACATTTTCTTGTAGTCAGAGCAACTCCACCCTTGCCCCCATCCCCCATAATGGAAAAAAAAATGGGGGAATTTTGCTCCAACCCTCCCACATATTTGTCCCCAAAATGGGGATGAATAGTGTTCCCTCAAATATGGGGTACACTATTCATCTCCCCCGTTACTATTCACCCATATTTTATTATTATTTTAATTATTTAATCTTTTAGTTTAACTCTTTATATATACTAATTATATTTATGTAATATCTTTATAATATTAATATTATATCTTAACTTTGGTGTATAATTTTGATAAACTAATTTTCGTGAATTTATTATTTTTATGTAAAATTATAAGTTAATTTTATTATAAGTTAATTGTACAAAAAATATATAATTATCTCAAAAATAATTTCACTTTTATTTGAATTATTAATTAATCTATAATAATTGCTTACAAATTATATTATTTAAAATTTTATGAAATTATTTTAATTATGGAAATTACAAATTAATAAAAATAAAATATGGAATTTGTTTAATGGAAATTAAAAAATGAAATTGAAATGAAAGATAATAATAAAATATAGAAGAGAGAAGAATATAAAAAAATTTGGGGGAAAAAATGGGGGAATGGTTGGAGTAAGTTGTCCCCACAATGGGGATTTCCCCATTTTGGGGACAAAAAATGGGGGCAAGGTTGGAGTTGCTCTTAGAAAACTATATTTAGGCATTGGGTTTGATTTGTTTAGCTTATATTAATGTTGTAATGTCGTTATTTCATAGATTTGATTGAGTTGGAGCCGAATTCGAGAGGGAAAGCGGTCGTTGTGGATAGATTTAGCCGTGGAAGTTGAGCTAAGTGTTTGGTCTAACTTTGTCTTGAGGGAATAGGAGTAGAGTCTTATTTGCTAATTGCTATTTGTCGAGTACGGTGTATAGGCATGGTGACGAGTATCTATACACTGGTGTCGAGCATGACCGTGAGTCCTGAATTGCTATATTATCGAATTCTTAATTGTTGTTTATGAGGACTTGGTTGGAAATCTTTAACACTGAGCCAGTAATTGATGAGACTGAGTATTGATTTAATTGTGTTAAGTAGAAATTGAGTAAGTTTGGTTATAGGTGGATCTCCCTAGCCGGGATAGTTTATTATATTATCTTGTTCCCTTGCCGGGATAGTTTATTATAACATCTTTCTCCCTTGCCGGGATTATTTTGTGTACTGTATTGAAAGAAATGAGATCGTGTGGCACGCCGACCACGAGATATTATGAAATGGGATCGTGTGGCACGCCGACCACGAGATATTATGAAATGAGATCGTGTGACACGCTGACCACGTGATACTATGAAATGGGAGCGAGTGGTACGCCTACCATGTGATATTATGAAATGGGAGCGAGTGGTACGCCTACCACGTGATATTATGAAATGGAAGCGAGTGGTACGCCTACCACGTGATATTATGAAATGGGATCGAGTGGTACGCCTACCACGTGATATTATGAAAAATGGGATCGAGTTGCACGCCTGCAACAAGAGGAAATTGAAACAAGTGAAAGTGGTTTGTTTCCCTATCTGTGTTAGAGAATCAGANGTTATCGGATTTTGAGAAACATCTAAATGCATTCTACATAATAGAATATCTTCGTTTACAGTGTATCCTGCAGATCGAATAGACATATTTTCAACTGATTAGAGAAAAAGTAAATTATCGGAAGAAAAATAGAAGTTAATTGTGATTATAGAGGGTTATGTTGGCACCTCAATATATAGAGATTTTAGTGGACACAATAATTTAGTAGATGAAAAGATGATAGATGTTATTTTGATCTCGGCCGTTGAGTGGATTTAGTAGAGATTTTAGTGGACACAATAATACGGGTTATTATTTAGCTGACGGCATATATCCAAAATGGTCAACTCTTGTGCAAACTATTCGTGAGCCACGTTCGACAAAGAAGAAATATTTTGCGATGAAACAAGAATCATGCCGAAAAGATGTTGAACGTGCATTCGGAGTTTTGCAACAACGTTTTGCAATTGTTGCAGGACCCTCGCGTTTTTGGCAGAAAGAAGTGCTACATGATATAATGACTACATGTATTATACTGCACAACATGATAATCGAGGATGAGCGCGATATTAATGTACCAACTCAAGATGATTTGGAAGGTCCAACTCCAACAGTAGAACTTGCAGTAGATGAAAATCAACGATTTCAAGAATTTTTAGCTCGACATAGAAGAATTAAGGACAAAGATGCTCATTTTGCACTTCGTAATGCATTAATAGATCATTTATGGGAGGATACTAGAGGTTGAAGTAGAATATTTATCTAGTATTTCGAATGAATTTTATCGTTATGTAATATGTATTTAATTAATCTTGTATCGCAATGATTTCACTTTTATTTGAATTATTAATTAATCTATAATAATTGCTTACAAATTATATTATTTAAAATTTTATGGAATTGTTTTAATTATGGAAATTACAAATTAATAAAAATAAAAGATTGAATTTGTTTAATGGAAATTAAAAAATGAAATTGAAATGAAAGATAATAATAAAATATAGAAGAGAGAGAAGAATATAAAAAAATTTGGGGGGAAAAAAGGGGGAATGGTTAGAGTAATCCCCATTTTGGGGACAAAAAATGGGGGCAAGGTTGGAGTTGCTCTCAGAGACAATTAACACGTATAGTTGAGCACTTCATTTATTTTCATGTTTCAGAGCTTTGCTTTAGATAAATCAACTGGGAAGAAGTCATATGTAATTTCTGCAAAAGAACTTTCTATTTTATATGGAGATGAACCAGATCATTGGAACTGGAAACCTGTCCCACAATCAAGGTAAATACATCTTCTCCTCCTTCTTCTTCTTTTTTTTTTTAAAGATTAAATGCAAATTTTGCTACTCCTGTTTTATAGGTTTGCAGAAGTAGTTGAACTGAAAACAATATGCAGACTAGAAATACAGGGGAAGATGAAAACAGGGGAGCTATCTCCAAACACAACATACGGAGCTTATCTACTAATGAAGATTTCAGATAGATCATTTGGGTTGGATTCTATTCCAACAGAGATCAGTGTTAAAGTGGGAGATGAGGAATTCGTCAACACTGCGTATCTACGCAACCCAAGGAGCAAGAAAGAGCAGCTGGAATCTTTGTTTTACAGGAATAGAATGGAGATTTTGAAGTCAAGAGTAAACAAAGGGGAAGAAGGACTGCCTCGTGAAAGGGAGGACGGGTGGTTGGAAATTAAGCTAGGGGAATTCTTCAATGGAAGAAATGGCGATGAAGATATCATAATGAGGTTGATGGAGGTGAAGGGTTATCATGTTAAAGGTGGGCTTGTCATTGAAGGCATTGAATTAAGACCTAAACACTAGGGTAAATGAGAGTGTAATTGTCTGATTGGATGTATTTTTGTTTTGGTATTTAGTTTTTATTTATATACCTTTATTGTGCTCTTTTGTGTAAACCAAACACGTTTTTCTCATTTATTTTCTTCTTTTTCAACAGAAAAATGATCATCGAAGAATTAAATAATTATACACCGATGGTGTAAATGAATTTACTATAATAACATTTAAAAAATAATTACAGATAATTATTCATAATAAATGAAACTAAATACCAGAAAAGTAACATGCAAGTAATTGCTTGGTACAACAAACTAAATTATAATGTTATCTTAAAATTTAGGAAAAATGCATAAATACCCTCCTGATCTATACCCAGATTTTCAAATACACTCTTTTTCTTTGCGGGAATCCTATTACCCCCATAAACTTATTTTTAATGTAATTATTTGCACCCTTAACGCTGACAACCAAACTCTTGGCAAGTGGTGAGCTACACGTGCCCCCATATGTATTTTTAGTACTTTTTTTATTCTTTCTTCTTTTTCTTATCCTTTTTTCTTATTTCTTATTATTCTCATATTTTTTTAGTTATTTCATTTTCTTTCTTTTTAATTTGGTCACCGGCAGCATAAAATGGTGGTCGTCGGAATTTCACAAACACCATTTTTTCAGCGAATTTTTTTTTCCCGGCGACATATTTTTATCTCGATCTAAGTGTGTTTTGTTATATATATTTCTTCAAAGTGTAATTTATGTGTGGGAGGAAGAGCAAAAGAAATAAAAACGAATATAAGCTGAGAAAACTTTTTTCAGTTAAAATTTCAATACATCATTTTTTTTTTCCGGCATGGGAAGGTTTTCCGATGATGAATTTTTTCCCCCAAATCTGAGTGTATTTTGTTTTGCTTATAAATAGATCTTTTTGAGAGTTTAATTTGTGTGTAAAAAGAAAAAATAGAAGAAAAACGGTTAGACAAAGTCGCCGGTGAATGAATATCCGCCGGGATTAGAGAAGAAACAAAAAAAAAGTAAAAGAATAAAGACAAAGAAAAAGGAAAAGGAAAAGGAAAAAAAGTAAGAAAAAAATGGTAAAAAAGAATAAAAAACAATCTGAAAATCATTTTTTCCTTCTTCTCACTCTCCTTTGGAAGAGTGAAATACACACACTCTGCCACTTCATCGTTAAGGGTGCAAATAATTCCATTTAAAATAAATTTAGGGGGATAATAGGATTCCCCCAAAGAAAAAGTGTATAGTTGAGAATCCGGGTATAGGTCAGAGGGGTACTTATGCATTTTCCCTAAAAAAAATTTATGTGGAGAAGTTTTTTTTACCACTTCGGATTTTGGAGTCCTTTTGGTTGCAGCTTCAAAGATAAATGAGCCAGCAAATAGAACAAGAAAGATTTTAAGGACGCATCTGAAAAAACTTTATGATTTTATCAAGTGCATGTAATTTGGTTCTGTTTTGTGGCAAAGATAACAAATGCAATAATTAGAAATGCAAAAAAAAAAAAAAACAGAGCGAGTTGTTTCTTGGATTAAAACAACCTTTTTTTTGGGTTAAAACGGATGCATATTTAATTAACACTATGTTACCCGTTAGGGCGTATAAAAATATTGTTTGTGGGTGGGTATGTGATACCCCCCCTCTAGCATACTGTTACTATCACTATTACAAACCATTATTTTCCTTTCAAACAAAGTTCCTGCGATGTCTGCCCAAAACACATGTTTGACAAACACCGGAGGAACTAATGTTACAAAAACATCTTCAAAAAAAAAAATTCTTATTCCTTCCTTTGCCAGCATGTCAGCAACTTTGTTGGTCTCCCTGTAGCTGTGCTTCACCACCACGTCGCCTAGTCTTTGGATGATTGACCTGCATTCATGAATAATCGAGTCAAAATAGAGGTTTCTTAGCATTCTAATTACCTCCGTTGAGTCAGTGTTTATTTCCAAAGGTGTGAACTGTCTTGCTTCTGCAATTTGTAGTCCTTTAAGAAGAGCTAGTATTTCTGCTTGGGTGTTGGTGGTGTATTGGATTGATCCCATGAATCCCAATATCCAGTTTCCACTTGCATTTCTGAATACTCCCCCCAGACCTCCCTTACCCGGATTCCCTGTTGCAGCTCCATCAGTATTTAGTTTGAAGGAATTGTTTTTTGGTGGCTCCCATTTTACCCAGATTTTTCCCATGTTTTTTGGCTCTTTATCCAGCATCATTGTGGCATATTCAGTAGCCTTTGCTATTGCACATTTTGAGTCTGCCCTATCTTTTTTTATATTGAAGAGATTATTATTCCTTGTTAGCCAAATTTGCCAGAAACAAAAAGGTAGGAGCTCTTCCTAAGTAATGATGCTGTTGTATGCCTTTTTCTTTAGGGTTGCCCAAGTGGTTGGCCAATCTGTGGTGTTGAAAGCATGGATAGAAGTATTGATTTCCTTATTGCTTTTGGATATGATGTCTTGCCAGAAGGTGTGTGCAATGAGACATTCAAAGAAGATATGTGCCGAGGTTTCGTTTGCCTGGCTGCATTGGGGGCAACTGGGATTTGGTTGTACCCCCACATAATGGAGGTAGGCTCCAGTGGGGAGCCTTTCATGGAAAAGTAATCAGAAAAAGGATTGTATTTTTTTGGCACTTTTAGCTTTCATATCCAAGTGAAATTGTGAGTCATTGTTTCCTGACCTTGATCTAAAATTGAATAGGCTGATTTTGTGGAGTATAGACCATTTGGTGTTGCTCCCCATATCATTTTATCCTCATTTAGTGGATTGGATGGGATGGAAGTATTGCGGATTGAATTTTGGACATTTTGGGGGATGGTAATGGAGAGAGTAGAGAGGTCCCACACTCCATGGTGATGGACATTAGCAACTATTTGGACATATCTTCTCTTGTCAAAGGACCTTGAATTAGTAACCTTATGGCTGGGGGGTTATTTATCCAGGGGTCGTTAAAAAAGTTCACTCTGTTTCCTGAGTGAACTACCCACCTTTTTGCTTGCCTGCATGTTTCCCATCCTTTCAGGATGCATTGCCATGTGTGGGACTTTGCCTTTTTGGGAGGGTTCCTCCAATTGCAGTGTTTCGCAATAAGAGTTTTTGCCCAAAGGGATGTTGGGTTTTGGTATAGTCTCCAAGCAAGGCCTGAGTGCTGGGCTTTATTCTTTAATTCAGCTTTCTGAATTCCCAGTCCCCCCTTATCCTTGGGCTTTGTAAGTGTGTCCCAAGATATCAGATGCATTTTCTTTTTAGTAGTAGTGGTTCCCCAGATGAAGTTCCTCTGAACTTTATCAATTTCTTTGCTTGTTTTTGCTGGCAGTTTGATGTACTGCATAACATGGTTCGGAATTGAGTTTAGGGATGCTTTTGCCAGAGTGGTCCTTCCAGTCATATTGAGCATGCTTGTTTTCCACCCTGCCATTTTTGAGTGAAGATTGTCAATAATGAATTGAAAATCACTATGAGTGGGTCTTTTATGAAAAATTGGGAATCCCAGGTACTTCCCGAAGTTTGTTGATGCTTTTATGGAGAGAGAGTTTGAAATGAGTTCCATTTGGTGAGGTTGGCAGTTATTACTGAAACAAACTTTGGATTTATTGAGATTGATTTTTTTCCCTGATGCTAGATTGAAAGGATTTAGGGTATTCATGATTGTGTTGCAACTTGGAAGATTAGCTTTTGCAAAGAGAGTTAAGTCATCAGCAAAGAAGATATGTGATATTTTTGGTCCATTTCTGCTAATGCTGATTGGGTGCCATTCCCCTTGAGTGACATTGTTGTCGATGGCTCTTGAAAGCCTTTCCATGCACATGATGAACATACATGGGGAGAGTGGGTCACCCTGCCTAATGCCCCTAGTGGGCATGAAGGGGTGATTTGCTCTCCATTGACAATTACAGAGATGGTGGATGAGCTGACACATGACATGATGAGATTGATGATTGTGTTTGGGAATTTGAAGCCATGGAAGGTTTGCTTAATGAAAGACCACTCAAGTCTGTCAAAAGCCTTCTCCAAGTCAATCTTTAGGATCATGTTACTGGCTTTTCCCTTCATTTTCCAAAAGTGGGAGATGTATTATTGGACTATGATGGCATTATCAGAAGCTTTCCTATTGGATAGCAAGCTTGCCTGACTAGGCCCAATAATGTGGGGGAGAAAAGGCTTGATCCTATTGACAATAATTTTTGTTACTGTCTTGTAGGCAGTGTTGCATAAGCCTATGGGTCTGAAGATTTTTATCATTGTGGCTTGAGGGCATTTTGGTATGAGGCATAGAAGGTTTTCATTCATGACTGGGTCCATAGTTGATGTGGAGAGACATTTTTGGCAGTAGAGGGTGACATCCTTGCCCACTATGTCCTAGTATTTTTGGTAAAAGAAGGGGTGAAGGCCATCTGGCCCAGGGGCTTTGAAAGGCTTGAAGAAGAAGATGGCATTCTTGATTTCACTATCCCTTAGAGGCATTCCAATTGTTGTTTGCTGAATCTGAGAAAGACATGGCCCTTGGAATTCAGTGGAGGATAGGTCATTCTGAGAGTATGAGAGGGAGGAGGTATAGAGTTCTGTGAAGAACTTTGAAATTGCCTGTTTGATCTCCCCTTCCTCAAACATCCACTGACCAGTGTCATTTTGGAGGGAAAGGATTTTGTTCCTCCTTCTTCTATTTAAGGTGGAGGTATGGAAGAATTTGGTGTTGGCATCAGAGAGCCACTGGATTCTAGACTTCATCTTCCAAAAATCTTTTTCATTTTTTAAGATTGAGTTAAGCTCCTCAATGAGATTGTTCTCGAGGGTTTGTAAAGTGGTACTTGTAGGATAGAGGAAAGATTTTTTCATTCCTGCTATCCTTGCTAGTAGCCTCTTTTTCTTATGGAAGATGTTTCCAAAGGTATGCCTATTCCAATTGAGAGCATTAACCTTAAACAGAGAGGTGGAAGGGACTCGAGTAGAGTCGGGCTTGAAAGAGTCTCTAACTAGGTTTTGGAACATGGGGTGGTTGCACCACATTGATTCAAACCTGAAAGGTTTATTGGTGGGTCTAGGCTTGGCACTGCTTAGATTGACAAGCATAGGGCTTTGATCAGACTGGGTCC